ATGCAGCAATGCAGAAACTTTGAGGTTTCAGAATGGAATAAGTTTGAGAAGTTTAGCTATCCAAAACAACAAATTGTAATACGACCAAGACAGAAATTACAAAATACATTCTATACAATGAACTGGAGGGAATGTTCTGGAGCAGACATAAAGCATAGACATTATGAAATCAAAGAGATATATTTGTAAGATTTTGCAGACTTTATTATCCCGAGGTTTAAGATTCATCAAGTTTCACTGTGTGAGATTGATCATGTTGAGCTTGCACAACATAATTTATTACAAAAATCATGTTTTTAATCTTTTCCTTAGATGATACATTCTCGCAGTTACTTCAGATCTAAATCAATGAGCTCCACAAAAATGGACATCATTGATATTCTTTCTTTGACATCATGTGTAAATAGGTGGATATGAGATTAGGTGTATTTTTTGTTGGACTTGCAAATTTAAAATCCGCTGATTCAAAGTTTCTTCGTTGGCTAATTTGATACTTTCCAAACTACATTTTCCGATTATATCTGGCTCTATGATTTCTTCTCTTCGTAGGAATAGTCGATTTCTTCGAAATATGAGGTAATCTTCCAGATATATCAATGTTGCCTCTCACTTTGGAAGACAATTTAGATATAATTTGAAAGTATCTTAAGGCAGTGTGTTAGGTGTTGGAGTTGGATTGTGATTATCGCAGCTCCTACTTCAGACAGATTTGTTATTAGCCTAGTCATGTTCTATTTTGGCATCATGCTCTTCATCAATTGATAACTCCTTTGTTCTTTGAGAGATGAATCCAATTCATGAATAACATACATTTAAAAAGAAAAAGGGAAAAAAAGACGCAATTTTTTACTGCACAAAGTCTATTTCACAACAGTTGTAATTTGCAAGCAAAGTCTAATTTCCAAATAATTTTAATCGTAGAGGTAACAAATTTTTTACCCATACAAATCTAATCTATAATCATATAATGATGTTGAAAATAGTTGGTCAATGTAATAACCCACCAAAGGCTAAAACTGCAGTATGGTGGTAAAAAGATCGAACCCACAGGGACAGAGGCAACACACAGAGTAAAAGTGTCACATTTAACAGACTTTTGGTAGAGTTTGAATTCTAGGCGACTGTCACTCCCAGAAATACTGTAGTGCTCGACTCGGAGGCTCGACTCGGAGGAGGAACTCAACTCGGAGGATGCTCGGAGGATGCACGGTACAGCTTGGTCACTCAACACACACACACACACACACCTGAAACTGGCAAAAAGCACAACTCGGAGGTCGGTCAGGACCTCCGCTTCGGATTTCAGGAGGAAAGTGTCTCGCAAGTTCACTCAGAGGTTCTGCAGGAAGTGCCTCCCACTCCGGCTTTTACTGCCCTTCCGCCAGGAACTAGCGGGGGTACCCGGACTGGACTTCTCACTTCGGAACGAAGCCTCTACGTACGCCGTGGACGTCACCCTCGACTATCACACAAAACGCAGGGAGTGCAGACCCGACTGAGAACTTACTGAAAACACGATCCAGTAACACACACACAACCTGAATTACAAACCAAGGTTTACACGAAGTAATGAAACTTCACATTGGCATTCAGGGGAAACTTCCCGTAGGAGTACAATCAGGATATGTCACTCGAAGGAGTAAGGGGGAACTGTTCAAGTCTCTAACTCGCAGCCGGCTCTGAGCATCAGAAATCACCCGCAGGTGCAGATCCGCACTACTCAAGTCTCTAACCGGGTGCGAGCTCTGAACATTCAGCCGAAGGCCTTCAACTACAACATACGGTAACTTCGCTATGCTGCAGCTTCTCTACGTGGTGCCAGGACCAAAATGCACAAACACGCCAAGAAAGTGAGTTCCTGATCTGCACTTCCGAAACTGGAAGAGTCAAAAGGCAAAACGCCTTGAACTACTTTATACCTTCTAAGGTCCTAACTAACACTACACTACCCGCTAGGGTGCGAGCCGCAACAGATCCTACACCTGAGAAGTCGGCGGCTACCTTCCCCTCTAACTTACAACCTAAATCTAACCCTAACCCTAAATCTAAATCCTAAGCCTACTGTACAGAGCCGCCAGCGTCTTTACATCCGAGATCTGAGGCTGAATATTTGCAGGCATGCGTGGCCGACTGAGATCAACGGCCCCACCAAATTTCAGATCCATCCGACCGTCCATCGCAGAGATATGGACTCCGCAAGATCTCTGAACCGCATCCGGTTTTCCGACTCCGAGTTTGCCGACTTGAAGTTCGCCGACCTCGAGTTCGCCGACCTCAAGTTCGCCGACTCCGAGTTCTCCGAAGGCGTTGACCGCCGAAGACGCACTTCCGCACCTTTGCCTATTTGTAACAGTCACTTCCGACACCCATAACTCACAGATCCTTGATCTGTTTCAAGAGTTCTTGGGCTCGTTGGAACGAGCGCGTCAAGCTCTTTCTAACGAGACCCTAACTGAGTCAAACCGTTACGAGTTGAAAGAGTTATGCCAGTTTTATCCTTCGCCGAAGGCACACTGTCGAAGGCTTGTTATCTGTTATCGCCGAAGGCGCCCGCACGATGTTTCGCCGACTCCGAGTTCTCTGACCTCAAGTTTTCCGACTTGAAGTTCGCCGACCTCGAGTTCGCCGACCTCAAGTTCTCCGACCTCGAGTTCTCCGACTTGAAGTTCGCCGACCTCGAGTTCTCCGACTTGAAGTTCTTTGACCTCGAGTTCGCCGACCTCAAGTTTGCCGACCTCGAGTTTGCTGACTTGAAGTTCTTTGACCTCGAGTTCGCCGACCTCAAGTTTTCCGACCTCGAGTTTGCTGACTTGAAGTTCTTTGACCTCGAGTTCGCCGACCTCAAGTTTGCCGACTCCGAGTTTGCTGACTTGAAGTTCTCCGACCTCGAGTTCGCCGACCTCAAGTTTTCCGACCTCGAGTTTGCTGACTTGAAGTTCTTTGACCTCGAGTTCGCCGATCTCAAGTTCTCCGACCTCGAGTTCGCCGACCTCAAGTTTTCCGACCTCGAGTTCGCCGACCTCAAGTTTTCCGACCTCGAGTTTGCTGACTTGAAGTTCTTTGACCTCGAGTTCGCCGATCTCAAGTTCTCCGACCTCGAGTTCGCCGACCTCAAGTTTTCCGACCTCGAGTTTGCTGACTTGAAGTTCTTTGACCTCGAGTTCGCCGATCTCAAGTTCTCCGACCTCGAGTTCGCCGACCTCAAGTTTTCCGACCTCGAGTTCTCCGACCTCGAGTTTGCCGACTTGAAGTTGACCCGAAGACGTCCGTCGCCGAAGGCGAACATCTAGGGCCGAAGGTGGATATTCTGCTGACGACGAACTCCTTCCGCCTATCCGTAGGCGTTGTCCTTCGCATCTTCCGACAGTCACAACTCCCTGAGTCCTCATCCGTTCCAGGCTTTCTTGGGCTCGTTAGAACGAGCGCGTCGAGTTCTTTCCAACAAAACCCTAAGTAACTCAAGGCGTTAAGAATTGAGGAAGTTATGAGTGATCTACCGCCGAAGGTGCTCGAAGCGAGTCCTGCAGCGTGAACCGCCCGTTCCATTGCAAGTGTTCCACTGTGGCCTAAGCCCAAAACCCCTTGACTGTCCTCGATCCTCTTTTTACTCTGGCTTTGCGTACCGATTACTATTTACAGCTGCTACCACGGTACTTACTAATCAAAAATGTTCTAATTCCGACGAAAAACAAAAAGTGGGTTACCACAGTCAAATTAAACATAACCTTACAGTGAAAGAAACCTCTAATCAGGTTGACCTTGCATTCATTTAACTCCCCTAGAAGACAAGAAGACATCAACTCTCAGAGTTCAAATCTAATTTTGCTAGAGTGGCTTTATCATCCCAATCAAGGCAGTTTTACTTTTCCTTGTATCTGTGTTCGAATGCCTTGGCTGGCATTATTCCATCTCAGGATCCGAGGTGTGATAGCCATCCAGTTGAATTTTGTTACTTCCCACATACTTAATCGCAAAGCTACGGGATGCACATCTTCAGAAGTAATGTTGCATATGTCTTCTGCAGACGTCTCCATGGTTTGAAACTGAATAAAGTTTCAAATCATGGAGACGTTTCAAACCACGTCTCGTTGGATCCAACTAATATATGGAGAGATTTAGACTTTCTCGAAAGTGGGACAACTAAGGATTAAGGTCAACGAATTCAGTGGGATCTTGTGAAGCTTGTGAATGGGACACTTGAGCAGCGTAGTCTCATGATGCAGATCAGAATGCAGAGACCTACTAGCTGGATTTGACTATTGGTGAGTGATTCAAATCAGACACGTCATGTGCAACAGTCAATGACTCTTCATATATGTCACTGTCCCTTTCCTCCTAGAAGATGGCCGCGAATCCTCTTTGTGAGATATATTGAGTCAAGAGTTCAAATAAGTCCATCTCCATTTTCTGCAATTCACACTACTGTAGCACTATTTAGAACATGCCAATAATTGCCCATTCCATGCGTATAGGAAACACGCAGGACTTGCTTGTCAACTGAGTTTTTTGCTCCAGTTGTGACACCTTTTTTTAGGATAAGAAACTCTGATCAGCAACCACGCAGGGGTCGTTCTTATACTTAAAGTATGAAAATAATGAGCAGAATTGACGACAAATGCATTTAGCTGTTTCGAACAAAGTTTCCTTAATCTCCTTCAACATCTGTAGATAGCAAAATACGTAAGGTTCATAATTGTTAATGAGCAACTTTGCACCTAGGTCAGTGCCAGCCGAGATTTTCATGAATAAACATCCCTAACATGTCCAATCGTTACAGGGAAATCACGGGTTGCGTACATGGAAGCTCTTATATTAGATGTCTCAGATCTAGTCTGAAACATGTGAAGATGATCATGTATAATTGGTAAGAAACGATGGAGTCAAGTCAACCATTCATAGGTAATGGTACTCACGCTTTTTCTGCAGTTAGAGGAGTATGAGGGTCTGAACTGTCCTTTTAAAGGCTGGGCACCGCTTCAGATTTAGCATCTGTCGTCAGGTCTGCTAGGACTGAATAACTGTAAGGCCTAGGACATAAGATTTCTACATTAGTGCATCAATGAGCTCTTGATTCTTCGTGTCAGTAGTTTGGGCAAAAATCTACAAGAACAAAATATTAGGCGGTTCTATTGGTTCAAGACCTTCGATCAAATTACGTATCTTTGTACTTTTTATCATCCATAACCTTTGACAATGGCATCAACATGGATCCTTAGGACATTTGGAGTGCTTGTGGTGATGGCATGCAGCGTAGATGCTCAGCTTTCGACAAGATTTTACAACACTAGGTGTCCAAACGTGACAGCCAGGGTAGGTGAAATTATCAGAGGACACATCAGGAGGGACAGGACTATGGCTCCGGCTCTACTCCGTCTACATTTTCACGACTGCTTTGTCAGAGTATGTGTTCGATAACTTGGAAGTTGCCACATTGTTGCAACTAGGAGAGGTGAAAGCTGATCCTCCGGTTATGTTGAAATTCTGTTTGCTCAGATTTGGGAGAGAAATGCAATATCGACTCATTCGCCTTGTGTAATTTTTACTGACTGCACTGATCTGTTCAGGGTTGCGATGCCTCGGTTTTACTGAACAATCCTAGTGGAGGTCGAGGGGAAAAGGAGGCAACTGGCAACAAGTTTTCAATCCGGGGATTTGAAATCATAGATGATGTGAAGGCCAAAATTGAGGCTATGTGCCCAGGCGTGGTGTCTTGCGCGGACATTCTTGCTCTTTCTGCCCGAGATGCCATGCGAGCTGTAAGTCCACTTGCTGTGATGAAGTCTCGGATTCTTTTCTCCATTGCTGTACATGGCTAAAATTGTAGTAGATGTGGGCTATTTTCGACACAACTGAATAGGCAGTGTTGACATTGTTGGGGATGAATACCATATCATCCCACAAGCCCGGAAAAAATCTCGATCGTACACCAGATTTTGAATTTGCGACTGACATACGAGCATGACTTTGAATTTTCTTCCCTGAAGTTCGGAGGTATCGATTGGGCTGTACCTTTGGGTCGAAGAGATGGAACAATAACATCAGCAGCTGAAGCTAACAGAGACTTACCGCCACCATTTGCAAACTTCAACACCTTGTCAGCCATATTCCGCAGAAAGGGTCTTTCAGTGAAGGACATGGTCATTCTTTCAGGTGCCTCTAAAATCTTTTCTCGTTTGATTTTTGCCCTTTTTCCAGATCTCGATCCGTGGAAAATTTTGAGCACTTGTTCGACAGTCATTTCTGCAGACAGTAAAAACGGAACAGACCATGAAACATCTTCGAATTGTATCTTCTGCACCATAGAATCTGTATCTATAACAACTCGGAAATCAGGACCTGGTACATAAACACGCTCTGGATGCTCTGTATGAATTATCCGATGGCCGTCCCTCAAATGAAATTCCTAACTACTCTGATTCCTGAAAACTTGCAGGAGCTCATACAGTTGGTCTAACACGCTGCGCTAGTATGCAAACGCGTCTGTACAACTTTTCTCCAACTTCACCGACTGATCCATCTATCGATCCAGCCTTTGCCGCCTCGTTGAAAAGGGAGTGCAAGCGAGGGGACAACAACACTCTAATCAGGAATGACCCGACCAAACCAACTGACACTTGGGACCCCAATTACTACTCGAACGTTCTCAGGAGCAAGTCCCTGTTTATCTCCGACGACGCTATGAAGAGAAGTCCAGAAGCTCGCAAGATCGTTTTGACTCAGAACCAACCAGGCTCGCCTTTCAGCAAGGAATTCGCACGAGCCGTAGAAAAGATGGGACGAATTGGTGTACTTACAGGCAGACAAGGTCAAATCCGACAGAGATGCAGCAGAGGAAATTAGATTCCAGGAGCTTGGATCTTCTCAATCCAACGCGAGGCTATTTTAAGCTTCGCATTTCTTCCAGTCGCAGTTCTGACGTTATTTCTTTCAATTTATAAAAAATTGCACATCGATTCATCATATTATGTTAGGATATTGAATAAAAAACCACAAGCCGTCTAGAATAAAAGGATAAATATCGACAAGAAAATTTCGTGTCAAACGTCATCCATGGATTGGCATGCTTTTCTGATTTACTTTTCTGTTGAAGTCTTTTCAATCATTTCCACAAAGGACTTAGAAAACTATATTGAGTTGATTGTACATGTTTAGATATATTGTAGAGACAGTCAGAAAAACTATGGTTATATTGAAATAGACAAGTTTTGTAATTTCTCATTTGAAATTTCGTTTCATTCATTTCTTATGTTTTCATACGAATTTATTTTTAAACGATAAATTGTGAAAAATATGTAAATCTACTTCAAGTATTTGTTCATGGTTAAGTGACTTGAAACTATGATTTCACAAATGAAATATCAATAATGATAATTGGAAAAAAGATAATAAGATCGATGTATTAGACAAAAACATAACATGTGATTACTTATTTAGTTGTAATCAAGGTATAACTCAATAAAATGAAATTTTATTTTTTTTTGACATACGCATATGTTTTTAAATGGTATTCAAGCAATACGTCTGTATGGCTTGAATCATAATCTGTATAAATCATAAAATACGAGCTGTGGGTTAAGAAATTCTCTAAAAATCAATATTTTTTAAAATTTCTTAACCAATATGTGTAAAAAAAACTCTCTCTTAATGATTTACTAAATTTGAGAAATTATGTCAACTTTTAACTAAGAAAAAAAAAAGACATTTCGTACTCATATTTTTCAATTCTTGCATTTACTTTGGCTTCGATAACTATATTTAAGACTTGAGATATGTTTCCTCTGAATGTTATTTTTAAATATTTTTTTTTTTAAAGTTGATTCATATTTAAGATTATATTTATAGTGATGAGCTGATTTTCTAGTTTGATAGCAAAAAGTATATATATATGTATATATAAATAAAATCATTCAGCATTTTCAAGCCACATTTTGAGATGATAACTCATTAGTTGCTAACAAAATCTTATACTTTATCATTCGTTTCTTAGACTTTGTAGATGTACCAAGTTCACATAAAAGAAAGATTTGTCTTGAAAAAATTGGAGCTATAAATATGAGTAGAATTTTTTCTAACAAATATTTTTTTTCAACTTGAAAAGATAGATTTAAATTGCTTCAAAAAGCAACCAGATTGAAAAATTTTACAAGAACATGTTGACAAGAATTAGTCTACTCAACAAAACTACATTAAGATGAATTGCAGGTGAAATTAAATCATAAAGCTTTCAAACTAACCATATTTAACAGCTTGTTGACAATTTTTGAAAACTTCTATCAATCTATTAACAGAGTTTGGAGTTCAAACATCCACAAATCCCTCTTTTCAAGATTATGTATATATTTTTAAGTACACTTGAGACTATAGAGCAAATAATTGCAAAGAAGAAAGGAAAAAACTACGTATTTTGATTTTAGATCTTTCCAAGCATAATTGATATTAGTAATATCTACTCACTACCAGTGCTGTGCATCTCTTTTCGAATTTTTGCTCAAATCAACAATATTTATGAACTATATTATATGCTTAAATCATTAAATCATCCATGTTATTGCACCTAGCTACACGATAATCTAAACATGTATTTTCAATGGTGACCAGCCAATACAATCATTCAACTTCAGCTTGCAAAGATGCTGGTTGGCTTTTCGAAGGTGCTCTTTTGATCCGTTCTTCGGCGACTCGGCGACCCTCATTGACTTTCTTTGATTGGAGATAATTTGGCGTAAACAAGTTTCGTAGTCTATTCACCATACTTTGCTGCAATCTTGTGTCCATCGTTTTCTTAGTCAAGTATCTAAAAATCTGTTAATTATTGTTATTCCCCTGAGCTCCGATATGCATGTCTGGAACAACCTACAGCTTATACCCTATTGTTGTAAGTTTCATCCTTGAATAGATGTGGATCCTACATAGAAACAGTGATGGCAACCACAATCTTTACCCTCTGAATTAGCTATATCTATGTCAATGTTATATTTGCCTATTTAGTTTTCATCTTTGGCCACAAGTTTGTGACCTAGCAACAGGATATGCCACTACTTCATGAAAAAGTTTTCCAGGCTGATTTGGCTCCGGAGTAAATTCTCGGCTTGGTCTTTGCATTTTGCTAGACTCCGCCATGTTATGTAGAAACTCAATCAGCATGACTGAGTTATCACATTATAGTACTATACATTTGCCAAAGTGAAATTGTTTCTACTTTGAATCTTTGCTCCGCGCATTTTACTCGGAATATTGGATTTCAAGATTTGTATAATATTGCTGCTCATAAGATTTCCGCAGATTATCATTGTGCAGCTACGGGAAAAAGTTGCAATAAAGAATAAATAAGTGATTCACCATTTCCATCTTGGTACATATGTAGACAATTACAAAAAGTTTGATACCTCATAAATTTATAAATTATTGCGTTCCATGCGACCTGCACATAACACCAAATGCAAATGTATTTATTGATTAAGTATAGTATTTTCTTTAAGATAAATTTTCATGCACCTCTTGCTTTTTTTCTTTACCTTGAGTTAAATTGCTAAAATCCAAAGAACTAAAATGCGGTATGGACTGCTGAGCCATCTTAGTACATGCCCGTCGTGATGTTATCTTACGTCTAACCTAATGCTTCCACACACAAGATCACATACTAAGAATCAAGATTTCTGCACCATTCTATCTAATGGTGCTACTTTGCCAGAACTTACCCACACAATATTGGGCAGATGTTATCTTACCATGAAAAAATGCTACATGCTAAAATAGTTTCACTCAATTCATGCAATTTCTTTGATGACTTGACATGAACAGACAACATATATAGGTATCCTCCTTTTGACTTGGTGACAATCAATTGGCCAAGTGCGAGCTGGGACGAACAGTCCTACGGTTGTTGTTACAAACTTTCCTCTTCTTCGAGCTTTGCACTCTCAACACTTCATCTCCAAAAATAGAACCCATACCTGGCACGTTCTTTCTTGCCAAAATTTGCAGTTAGAAAAGAATAGTATGAGTGTCACATTCACACACAGAGACTAAAGGAAGCTTTTCATATTTATATTCCCTTGATTCATCATGTATTTGTAATATTAAATCAGCTGTTCTGTGAGCTGAAAGTAAAAGTACTATAATTAGCAATTTTGGTTCTATATTTGATAGGTCCTCAAATCTCAATCGTAAAACAACTCATCTTAGCCATGAAAAAACAATTGTAACTGCAATCAATTGAAAAATCAATTGTAAGCGGCTGAACTCGCAGCTTATGATATCTTACTTGTTAATTGAATGGACACAGATTCGTTCAAATCCAACTGCATAGAAGTTTTTCTCCTCATCCTGCTCTCTCTCTTTCTGGGGTAACCTTCAACTTGTAAATGAAACTGGAAGTCAAATCTCGTCACATATGCTTCCTGGAGGTGCAGGTTTTCCTCTAACGAAGACTGCTGTAATCTTAACTTACCAGGCTTTAGGCCATCATCTTTTGTCCTGGTGGAGACTCCACAGAGAGCAGAAGAGAGTCCGCAGGTTCTAGTACGAATGCACCTTAGCCTTGATTTGAAACCGAAGAAACGAAAGAACAGGCCGAGAAAACTTACATCTTCATGTCGTAGAAATTCAAAATCTTCAATTTGACAAAGACAGAATTTGTTGCTCACCACACAACCTCATGAGAGAATGTACAGGACCTCGGTGGTATTTTCTGTTGGGACCATCTTGAGCCCCGTCGAGAGGCTGTATCCCCACAGAAAATTATGGCAATGGAACTGCTTTCCCACATCTGCGATTACGATCGTTTACACACAACAGCCGAAGGCTGAGCAATCGAGTCGTTTCAAACAGCGATGAAACAAATTACGTGATCTCGGCCTTCAAAGACTGCCGGCCTGACGTTATTTTCTTGGTCGAATATAATTCTGCACTGCGTCTTCCATCAAAACAACATAGGATATGAGCTTTAGCCCGATTGATCTATCGATTCTACCTACTCACAAAATATTATATGATTGTTAGTGAAATTGCTGTAGGTACTCGTGCACTTGTGGGATATGCTTAGTGGTGGATAATTAGTTGAACAATATAGGTAGACTGAGCAAACAAATCTTGGAATGTTCTCATTATCGTTTTCACCCTCAATAGGAAAGCTTATCGATATAAGTTCAATATGTGAGCAGTGTATCACGCCACCCATCGGAGTATTCCTGAAGTTTCGGTGACCCTTGTTACGTCCGATGCACTGATTACTGGACAGTGGTGAGACTAAACAAAGGCGACAAAGACTTCAAAATCTGACCCCAATAGCGCGTGGATATCCTGAAACATCAGCGCGTGCGAGCTATTCCGTTCACAATAAGTTGCCACGTCCACCGGATGCTCGCCGAATCCACCGAGGCTAATCCATGAACTTGACACGTCGATGTGTAAGAGGAACTTGGTCAGCAAGTGTACAGTTGCTTAAGCTGGTCCAAAGTCTTTATTGCAACGATCAAATCACATTTGGTCTCATTGTGTACTGTATATGGCCGTGTAACCAAAACCTTCAGAAAAAGCAAAGACTGTGCTACATCTATGATTGAAGCGGCCTGTTACAGTAGCACGTAAATCGTTGTTTCTTTATGTAGGAAATCTTCTTGTAGCATCTCTCAAACAGTATTCCGAAGTACTCAGATTTCTCTTCCATCGAGAAAGCCAATCTATAATATTTTTTTGGAGTATATTTCTGATTCCTGAATTTGACTGCAGAGAGATAAGGAAGAAAAATTGACTTGGGGTTGAGGGTGTTGCTTTGGAGTGATGGACCCATTGACAATGTCAATCAGACAGACAGAAGGGACAGAGAGTAGAAGAAGATTAGGGTTTGTATCAGGAGGACCACCTTGGGTAAACAGACCGCGGGAGAAAATGTTTGTGAGATCGAGGCCAGATGTGATAGGAATTTTCGTTTTTCTAGATTAATGTTCTGTAGAGACCGATGAGGGTTCTCTGAGGTGCTGATATCCACAAGAGGGTGTGAAATGTAGTAGTAGCCATGACTGGCCCCGCTCGACTTGTATGCGGGGTTCCATCTGTCTGTCGTCTTCTATGCTGTCTGTCTTGGTGAGTGTTCAATTCGGAGGAATTCGAAAAAGATTATTTTCTTCTGCATTGCCCGTTCCTTTCCTTATAGGTAGAAATCAGAAATGCAGCTTTTATTCAGATTGGGATGCCATGCAGGTATTTTTCTTCCAAGAACAGTGAAGAGGGACTTGGGGACTGGACTTGATTAGTGGTGTACGAGCTGTACGGCAATCGTCTCCAAAGGGAGCACCTGTGATCAGTTCAGGTACCCTTCGAGTTCTGTCGAGCAATTATTGAATAAGAAGGCGTTAGGCCCGGAGAAAAGCCTGATGATGAGATCTTTCTTTGTCTTGATCTTCTAACGAAATCATTCGATTTCAGCAATCTCTTCAGATATATTCCACTGACTTCGGATTTTCTATTTGGTCAGCTTTCTTGTCTTTGCTCGCAAGGGCGATAAGATCCGTGCGATCGCAAAAATTGTCCAATATCAATCATAAATTGAAGGACGAACACAGGGAGGATAAATCAATGAGCGCTTCCAGCAACATTCTACGGTTCAACTTGTTTTGAACATGGCAGACGAGCATGACTACAACTGGAGGGCGAGTGGAAGATTTCCTGGCCCCGAAGTAGGCAATGGCTGGAATGGAAATTCTCCTATTGTTCTAGGTACCAAAACATCCATTAAAGCTGCAATATTCTCGTCTTTGAATCGTCTTGCATCAGATTTCTCAAATAGAATTTCCGGTTGCCATTGACTTCGAAATTTCCAGACTTACTGGCTCAAACTTTTGTCTCTTGCAGAGTAAAACTTCGCGGATATGATTACCAGGATGGTAGGCATGGAGGAATGGCATAGAGGTACTTCCAAGGAGGCGGAGTATCATATCTCGAGCAAACCACTCAGATCCGACATTCGAGTGAGTGTCTAATAAACAATCGTTATCACCATTAATTCTGAAACTAAATCTCATCGTTTCGTGACTTGGAACTCAACAAAAAACTGATGACCTTGTTTGCTTCTGGTCATTCTCACCTGGAGAGGTGTCATCCTTCATGCGGAAATACATACATCTATCAAATTTGAATAACGAATTTTCGCTGAAATCGGTATAACTACTCTTGTCATGGGCAAAGGCATTGGAGGAGGCTGATGCATGCTTTTAAGTTTGTTGTCCATGAGTGAGACCCTCAATCATGGTACGATTTGCTTATTGTGTAGATCTTTTACCCGCTTTTAGGGTTTCCACAAGTTTTCTACGTACCTTCATGTGATGTAAACTGTGAATTTGAGAAAGAAAACTTGCTGTACTAGTATGCGAGGGAATAAAGCTATGCAAAACCTGTAATCCTCGTCCTTCTTCCATGCTTTCATTCAAATCTAGAAATTGGCAACGAAAAGCTGTTCTCCCGTTTGTTCGATACATATTTGTTCGACGTGGAGGGAGGATTGATTCACATGTGGTCGACTGACAGACGATGAAGAAACGCAAGGTTGCTGTGTCTCGTCGGCAGGTGGTTATTTTGGTCGTGCTCACTACTCTATGGATTTCGACTAGGCCGAATGGTTTGGCAGCTGCAATATGTACAAAAGAGTTTCAGGACACTGAGACCACAAGATCTTACGCAAATTGTTCGGATCTACTGCGTCAGAAAGCTTCAATTGCTTGGAACTACACGCGTCATAGCAACAAAATGGAATTGGCTTTCTCAGGTCACTCTCTAGGAGAGATGGGTTGGGTCGGGTTGGGAATCAATAATCGTTGCTCGGAGATGGTCGGATCGGATGCATGGATTGCATTCCGGACGATTAATGAAAGTTCAGTGCAGTCCTACAAGTTGACGGATAGATTGTACAACTTCCCAGTTTTGCAAACCGGTCCCATTGACAATGATTTTCGGATCATTTCTGTTTCTATCACCGATTTGAACATTGTAATACACACTAGTTTGCAGTTGAAACCTAATCAGACGAAGTTTGCGTTGGTGTGGAATCGGGGTCCATCTGTTCTTTTCATGATGCCTGCACCTCATGCTCTCGATGAGGAATCACTGAGTTCTGTGGCCGTTATGGATGTTAATAACGGAGTGCAAGACATTGGAAAGCTCGGCTGCCCCATCAACATCTCGCATCGCCCCCAAAAAAAGGTATGAGAAGCAAGAAATTGTATTTTCCTTATGTGTGAACAGTTAGAGAGTCAAGCACACAAATTTCAAGAAAGAAATTTCACAAATTTCCTACTCGATTAATTGTGAAAGTGGAATCCGTGCTCATCATTTTGAATTCTTCTCTCAAGAATTTGCAGACGGCGCAACACATGCATATTATTGAGGAGATAGGTTGAGCATTCCACATTTTTTCATCCACTTCTTTCATCCACATCTTTAAGCGTGAAACTTAAACTTCTCTTGACGAGCATTTGGTGATCTGTGAAGCGGATGAGTCCCAGTCCTAGATCAGTGTAACTTCGATACTCAGTATCATTTAGTCCATTTTTTCATCCCAATTTTCCTCTGTTATTTCATTCGCACCTAAATCCTCGTGAGATTCAGCTTTGATTGATTCTAGCTTTTCCTCTCAGTCGCCTTGAAACGAAATAAGTTCTGCTTTGCTTTTATTTTGAAATGCTAGACAAGCTAGAACTTACCACAAAGGAGGAAATTTGTCTATTATAAGTATTTGTAAAAGGACTTTTAAGGCTTCTGAATCGATTTAAACTCAATTAGAAACATGAATGATCCTCACAACTCATATTCGACGAATGATTCGATGATCCTAATTGTGCAGAAGCATGGAATCATAGCAGGAGTAGCTTGGGGAATCTTATATCCTGTTGGGATACTGATAGGATGGTACACCTTGTGTTTTCCGCAAGCGTTCCTTTACGCTTATGTGCCGTATCATCTTTTGAGCTTTGGAGTTGGAATGGCTGGTTATTATTCCGGCAATGCGGTGCGGGATCTCAGTGGATCGCAGTATGATAGCAAACACCATCTTCTGGCCATCGGTATCGTCATTATTGGAACCTTTCAGGTGATATAGCACATATGAGCTAGGTTTCTTCAAAGCAAAAGTTTTTTCACAACTAATTTGTCATGATAGTTCTTTTTCTCATCTAAGTGACTTTTGCACAATTCCGATGAACATTTGATTAAGTTTTGTCAAGTTTTGTTCTTCTTAACGTCAACAAGATGATATACCAAGTTGATGTACTGAAAGAGAAAAATACAATATTAGTTAAAAAATTTAAGATATTTATCACTTTACGTATTTTCTTTTGGTATATGCATCGCTTCAATCTAAGGTTTAAAACTAATGTTATTCTATAATTTCAACAAAATTCTCAAGCTTCTCCCTAGCAAGATCTGGTCTGATTGTAATATCAGGTGCATAAAAACTCTGAGCTTATCTTGGTGCATAAAAAATATTTCACCTCTTACATTCTATCAGTGACTTCTTATGCATCCTAATCAGCTCGTCTGTGTCGTCCAGATTCTGCTCTTTATTCTAAGGGTAGCCTCTCCCGCGGGTTATGGTGGAGGACTGGTGTGGCATATAAGGGCTTGGTTTTGCAGTTACAATTTTGTGCTGGCCTTTGTAAACTTCTTTCTCATTGCGGCAGAAATCTATGGCGGTATACGGCTCTTCAGTCCATCATACAAATGGGACCTAAAATGGCTAGTGATTTCTTGTTTTGCCTTTTCACTGTACATCTGCAATTGTGCAGGCATACAAAAGTATAGACGTCATTTCAGGCCTGGCGTCGATGAATACACGCAATAGAGTCAACGTTGCCAAGGGTGTCTCCAAAGGTCCTCTCTTATCTCAATACATCCCTACCAGCTTTGCCAAGGTCAATGTCTTGTAGAACTCCTTTCCAGTTTCAGTACATTCTGATGCAGTAAATTAGGCCGATAATTGTAAATATGTAAAATGGTTAGATCCGGGCAAGGTCAATTCTATGATTCAATGGCCAAGTCCTTTAATGACTTCTCTGTCACACCCTGACATGGTATCAGCAGTCAACCTCTATGTCTTATGAATCAACAATCCTCCTCCTCCTTTTTAAGAAAGTATGCCAAACATATTACTGAAAATGTTCTAAACGGTTGCGGACACTACGAGCTTATCGTTTATGTTTGCATTGCTACTCGCTGAAACCTCTCATTTGATATTGCATATCTTAATCCTAGATCTATCATCTGTGCATTGCTGGTTTGCGGATTCTCAGCCAGGTAATGTACTACGAAGCTACTAGCAACATTTCAAAGATTTCTTTTGGAGCGTACTACAGTTTTTTTATGCATTAACCTTTGCAAATAGAAGATCACTTTGGAAGGAGTTCTTATATTGACATGGTTATGATAATCTTACCATATTCCTTTCGTTCTAGAGTAACTCAAGCAGCAGCGTATTTAATTTACAGACATCTGAATAGAATCAGATTTTCATCCCAACACTTTTTTCAAACGTACAAAAGTATAAGAATATTGCACGATCCAGAAGAGCCTAAGAGATTTTTGGTACACAAAAAGTCTCCTAGAACTTGTTCCATGATACAACACTCACTTCATGAGTACGATCGCAAGTGAACAGAACCTTTGGTCAGTGTTTTCCAACTCGTAATCCTTTGTTGCGTTTTAGGTATCACATTTGACTATTTTTCATCTTCCGACTATGCAATAATAAAAAAACGTCAAATCCTCATAATGGTGGACACAATCCAATCAAAATTGTTCTAGATACTGATTATATTTCAGATGTGATGTCTGCGTGGTGGAGAAAACTGATGAAGTTTTTTCCAGTGTTATACCTACATATATTTTTACCAAGCATTGCACGTTTACCTTCGAGTTTTCATATCTCATGTCGGCTGTCCATGCAAAGATTTTAAAATTTGAAGGCAGTGAAGTCAAGAAATAAAAAACCGTCATTTTCAAAATTTCAAAATGTTGACGGAGATAATAATATCGTAAAAATGAATATTTAGAATACGCAGAGACCCTGTATTGATTCTAAAAAACAACCCTTGTTCGAGCCGTTAAGAGGCAAAAACTTGGACAACATATTTCCAAAAGGTTCCCCCTTACCGAGTAAAGTACGGTTCAAGGACATAGGAAGCCAAAAGGTAAAATAAACGTAGTAAACACAGAAAATAAAAAACGTAAAGATTTGAGATATAAGTCGCATTGATCAGATTTGTTATTAGATTACTTTTTGTTAGAATATATCGAATCTATAAAAATCAAGTATTCACAAGTCCATTGGTCTAAATTTTCTTTTGCCACCAAAATTTGAAAATACCCCCTACATCTAAGAATGTGCTTGATACGCAAAGTCACTTTGCATAAAAATTGACATTCTAAGACTTTTCAAGTGGTATGAAACTGAACACTATCTCAATAGAAAATAATGACAATTTTGAACTCTAAAACATCAAATAAACATATAAAAGAATAATAATCACATCAGTGGTTTATTTTAAACCTAAAAACTGATACTCAACTCAGGCCATCAACACGAGACCAAGAATATAACGCGGTTAACCCTCGAGTACTACATCCACAAGGGAATAGCATAGTGATAGTATACTATGCATACTATCTGGTAATACACATACTTTGGGTAAAAATATCCAACACCAGCAATTAATCTTAGCTATAAATAATTTAATGTAAAATTATTTTTTTAAATGGAGTTAATCTTAACAATTCTCCCCTTAACTTTTTTTAAGTAATCTCAATAAACTCTCTAACCTATATTATTATTCCCATCACAAGATAGAGAAATAACATACAAAGATAATAAAACCATTTTTCCCTTAACTACTGTTAAAAAAATTTAGTATCTCTCTAACTTATAGTATTACTTCTATAACAAAATAGAGTAATAATATACAGAGGCAACTTAACAATCTTACTCTTAATTTTTATTAAAGAATTTAGTATCTCTCTAATTTATAATATTACTCCCATAACAAGATAGAGTAATAATATACAGAGTCAACTTAACAATCTTACCCTTAATTTGTATTAAAGAATTTTAGTATCTCTCTAATTTATAGTATTACTCCCATAACAAGATAGAATAATAATATACAAAGACAACTTAACAACCTCCCCTATAACTCATGTTAAGGAATCTCAATAACCTCTCTAATCTATACTATTACTCTTATAATAAAATACTGTAATAATATACAGAGTTAACTCAACTAGTATTAGAGCATGTTGAGTTACCTTTGTATGTTATTCCTCTCTCTCCTTATGATTATAATAATATAGATTACAGAGGTTACTGAGATTATTTAACACAAGGTAGGGGGAAGATTGTTGAGGCTAACTTCAGTTAAAGAATAACTTCACATTAAACTATTTATAACTAAGATTAATCACCGGTGTTGGATATATATACTCAAATTCTATGTGTTACAGACAGTACGCACAGTATAGTATCACAATGCTATTCTCCTGTGGACGTAATCCTTGAGGATGAACCACGTTATTTTTTGTATCTCGTGTTGATGGCTTGGTTTGAGTCTCAGGTTTTACCTTTACCATGGGTATTAGAAACAGTTTTTGATTCGGATCTGTAGTATATTGTTTCAATTTCCTGACGATTTGTTCAAAGACGGTTTTTAGAAACAAGATTTGTTGAAGATTTTTTGACAAAAGTCACAATTTAGGCTCGAAGTGTAAGAGTTATGATTTTGTGATAGTGATTTCATGTTTTCGGTTTGAAGTTTGAGTATGACAGACTTGTGAATTTGTTGACAATGATTTTTGTGGAAATCTCCAAAGATAGAAATCTCAGAACCGGAACCGGAACCTAGAACCGGAACTAAAACTTGAAGTATTTTCCATCTTTTTGATTAAGGAGATAAAATAAGGCTAAAAATGCTCCACTCAGAAGTTAAGCAAAACCAGATCACTAGAAGTAGTAAAGAGAATTAAAGTTTGTTACTCTTTTGGTTTTGAAAGATGAGCAGACAGAAGTCAGTCACCTCTTTGATTCTGAAAGGTGAGTAGAGAGAAGTCAGTCACCTCTTCGGTTCCGAAAGGCGAGTAGAGAGAAGTCAACAACAAAGTCAGGACCGAAGACGGGGACAAGGAGAAGAAGACGGATTAGTACTAAATGAGCAAGAAGAAGTAGAAGATCAGGTAGAGGAGACAGTAGTGATTTTTGATGTAGAAGTAGGATATGAAATCCGGACTACTAGGAGTGATAGGATTGGATAAGTTTTAGGAATTAGGGTTTTTGAGTGAGCTTTTGACGCTGGCGCTTTTGTGATGATCTCTGCTTATTTAAGTGAAGCTTTTGAGTTTGGCCGTGTCTTTGTTCTTGCATATTTCTTTCCCATATTACTTATGAGTAGAAAGTATCGTGTTTTTTTACGCTACTGTACTTCTGGCTTCTTGTATGAGTGTTGTTGATCTGAGAGAAGCGAGATTCCATTGCAGACGAAATATGAAGGTGACGGAAGTTGTAAGACAGGAGCCAAATCGTTCTAGACTCCGATATTGAGCAATGGGTTCGTTGGTGTGTCGTGGGAGTTGAAGCCTCATTCTTCGATCTGTAACATTCTCACAGGGAATAATCATCGCTAGGGTTAGAACAGGCAAAGTATTCTCACCTGAACTTCTTTCAATTCTAACAGGCAAGGGATACTCACTTGAACTTATGTTTTGCTCACCTAAACTTCTGAAGAGGTTCCGTCTATAGTAAGAAAAGTAGATTAGGAAGTGAAAAAGTTTGCCCAGAGATTGCCGGAACCTAGCTCTCGCAAATCCGGATCGGTGTGTTGTTGTAGTCTCACGGATCTGAAAGGGCTCACTTGTGTGACCTACTAGCCAGAATGTTCTAGGTTAGTTGTGAAGTGACCTCTAACAAGATACGTTGGGGTTTTTGTCATCTAAGCAAGAGAGTAAAATAGATTAGGATCAGCCTCCGATAATCATACTCCAAATTTGGAATATGATTAGAGTAGAGTTACAAGTAGTTTTTGACATTACACTAATGAGTTCTTGGAACAATACTCAAAATCACACGGATATGAATGATATAGGCTTGTTTTCTCCTTAACCAGAAGTTAAACAAGTTTCCGTGTTCCGAAATTTTTTTACTAACCTTGGTTGTAACAAAATTTCAACAACAATGACAGGTTGTTTTCGACAAGAAATTCACGCTGACAAAAGTTTGTTAGTTTTCTAAAGATGACATGAAATTTGTTGAGTATGTAGAGACATTTTTCACAAGGTGATAATTAAGCAGAGAAGTTTGGTCAAACTGCTCAATTTCAAGGTTGAGTTTATTGGAAGTGAAAGACGGGGTAGAGAAGTTCGACCAATTTTCTCTTCCAAAAAACAGTTAGTTAGGCGAGTTTGAGTTCGAGCTGCAGAAGTTTGAGTTTGAGTTTTTCTGGTAGTGGAAGTAAGGATGGAGAGTTCGACCAGTTTTTTCTTCCCAAAAATTGTCAAGGAGGCGTGTTCGAGTTTGAGATGCAAAAGTTTAAGGTTGATTTTTTTGGGTAGTGGAAGTCTGGATTGAGAGTTTGACCAGTTTTCTCTTCCTAAAAATTGTCAATGAGGCGTCCCGCACGGCATGGCTTAATCTTAGGTCGTGTGGCTCACCCCCATCCCCCTTCAAGCGGAGGTAGAAGCAGAGCGGAGGAGAGGCAAGCTGCCGTCGGAGCGGCGAGATCTGCGGCCCATGTAGTCAACGGCCTACTGATGGTGACAGGGGAAACCAACGGTGAATGTCCGAACAACGATGAAGAAATATTTTGTTATAAATATTTCTTAAAAATACTTTTTCATCGAAGTATAATCAAATTGGATTTGGTTGGAAACCTCTCAATGCAAGGAGTGCATTTGGACATTTCTCACAAGTTGAACAATGAGTCAAAAGGAGTAAAATGACTCGGATGTTGACACTGTCTCTCCTTTTTTACGAGCAGAGTTTGAAGGGCGAGAGATCAGTGGCAATTTTGACTATAACATAATACATTTTGATGGCTAAGATGATTATTTGTTTTGAAAAAAGTAGGTAAATGTGAAATTACAATCCATGGATCTCACTGTATAACTGGGAGCAAAACCTCCTAACATAAATGAGAGTGAATGGAGTGCTGCTCATGACCTGGAAGTTTACATGATGTTGGCATATGTGGATCATTCCTTACTCAAGCACGTTGAGATATACTCTAAAATATCAAAGTTGTTTTATGCGCTTCAGTAATGGTTATATCAGAAAAAATCCGTCAAATGTCATGAACACTTACATGCGATTGCTACGATTCAATATGAAACCCGACACTAGAATGCAAAAACAAATTCATGCCTTTGGAAATTTCTAGGTGGATCTCCAAAATATAGAGGAGTAGCTTTCTGACACATAACAATGTACCTTTCGAACTCTATGTTGTCGATCTATCAAACGCAATCAAAGATTTTTCTTCATCGTCAGAACACGACATTCACTTATAACAAGATTGTAAGTGCCCTGCTCATGTGATAAGAAGGTTATTCTTCGGAGATACAAATACAATAATTTATATTTGCTAGATGTCATCACTTTTTGAGAAAAAGTTCACTTTACCAGATCTTATGTTGAGATGTCTCATGTATGGCATTCCAAATTAAGTTATATGAGTGATTGGTTATGTATCTTCTTGATGAAAAAAGTTGTTACTCAATTTGAGTAAAGTTGACTTAGCATTTTGTGAACATTGCATCATGGAAAAACAACATAGACGAGCTTTTGGCGTTTGAACTCATTGTTCCACGAAGATACTATAGTACATAGTGACGTGTGGGGATCTTCTTCTATTGCGTCATTGTCCATAAAGTTGTACTATGTCTCTTTTATAGATGATAACTCTAGATATGTGTGGATTATTTTCTTACTCACAAGTCTAAGTTGTTTTCAACTTTCAAAAGTTGGTGCATACAAGTTGAGATACATACTAGAAACAAGGTGAAATATCTACGCTAAGAGAATGATAGCGAGTAAACTAGTGAGAAATCCTAGAGGTATTGTACTGTAATGACAGATAAATATCAAAATGGAGCATAATGGTAAAGATCCGATCTCACCAGGACAGAAACAACACAAAGAGTACCAATTGGCACGTATTTAACAGTCTATTGAGGAATTTGAATTCTCAGGCTACTGTCACTCCCAAAAATACTGCAGGTGTTCGACTCAGAGGTCACTCGGAGGACACACAAAGTAGCGTAAAGCGTGCACACACACACACCTGAAACAAGTAAATGCAAAACTCAGAGGTCGATCAGGACCTCAACTTAAGATTCACGGGGGAAATTTCCCAAGAAGTACACTAAGAGTACCTGTAGCTAGCAGCCAATTACGAATCTGCTTAAATCCTATCACTAATCATACGTTATTTCAGAACATTCGAATTGGGGCTCCTACTTCGGATGCGGTACCTTCGTCAAACCGAAGTCACTCTTACGCGGTGAACAACACACTCAACTCACAAAACGCGCAGAGAATACAGAAGTCCGAACTGAGAAAACTAAATTAAGAAAAGATCCCCAAGGCCAACGCCTTGGACTACTTTATCCCTAACTACCAAAAACTGTCATCTACTGCGGTGCGAGCACCGAAAAGGTCCTACGCCTTTGAAGTCGGCAGTTGCCGTTCCCTCTAACCTCCGCTCTAAACCTAATCTTTTCAAAACGCCTACTAATTCTACCTCTAACTGCGCTACCGCGTCGCGCGATCTGGTAAGATACGATTCTAACTTATTGGACAGCCGACGGTGCGTACGTCCGCTCCCCTTGATCAACTCAGCAGCACGATGTTCAATATCACGTAATCGAAGCCCGTTGTGAGATTCAATCTGCCACAGCATGTACCCGCCCAAACATCGCTCCACGCGCGCAGTTAAGGCTTCAATCGTCTCTTTCGATAACTGCCGATTCTTTCCTTCAAGAAGGAAAGAATCGGCATTCTCTCAATTCTTCGGAGTTCTCTTTCAATTTTGCCTCTACCTCGCATAATTGATCCTCGGCTTGCGACCGTTGCGTCCTCAACTAGCCACACTGCGTCTCCAATTTCTCAATTAACTCCAGATCTGCAATCCGCAATTCTCTCAATTCTTTCCTTCAAGAAGGTTAGAATCGGCATTCTTTCCTTCTGAAGGACTCAATCAAACATTGTTGGAGAAGGTGCAAAGTATGCTAGGAAATCACGTTTATTGGGGAAATTTTGGGCCAAAGTTGTCTACATCGCACTTTATTTGGTAAACCTTTCCATTTCTAATGCAATCAATTTTTCAACACAGTTTGAACTGAAGCATAAACGGATGGCAGATTATAGTCACTTGAAAATCTTTAGTTGTACTGTTTATACTCTCACATCTATGGAGCACGAGACTAAATTAGATCCTACATCCAAGAAATGTCATTTTCTTGGATATGCTAATGGAGTGAAAGATTACATGCTATAAGTCCAGTTGCTCTTAAGATGGTTGTTAGTAGGTATGTTTTTTTCAATGAGCCTAGCTTATTGAAAGAGATCGAGAGTTTTGAGACTTCTGGTACTCACAAAGCAAAATCTTTACTCACATATATTGTTGTGAGAAAGTTTGATCTAACTATCAATAATGATATGTCACAAGAAGAAACACCAATGCATGTGGAGCGAGTTGTTGAGAAACAGGAACTACATGAACTGGTTATCGGTGGTGAGTCTAGTGCAACAGTACCAAACAATACATATCAAACAAAAACGTCTACTAGGAGATCATAACGTCCTAGTAGAGTACTTAGAGATTTGGTTTATGACCTGACTCTATCCATTGTCAAAGATAGTGAACTTGATTTTGAGGATGAGTATGATGTTGCGTTTATTTTGGAAGAAGATGAATCTTCTTCATACATGAAAGCTCAAGCTTCGGTCAACAAGCTTGAATACATTGCTGCTATGGAACAAGAGATGTAAGAGAGAGAGTAAGAATTCTACATGAGATAATCAGTTGATTTTGAGGTCAAAAGCCATGAGATGTTGGTTTGTAGATTGCTAAAATCACTATATGGATTGAAGCAAACTTCTAGGTAATGAAATACATAATATTTGATGAGTTTATGAAGTCACAAGATTTTTTACAAAAGCTGTTTGATACCTGTGTCTACATGAAAAAGTTGAATGATGAGACGTTCAATCTCTTCATTCTAGTAATCTACGTTGATGATATGGTCACCTTGGCAAAATAACCAATTCAATATCAATGTATGCAACAATCGGCTAAAGTATGCATTTAACATGAAATATATGGGAGAGTCGAAGAGGATATTAGGCATTCAAGTCAAATATGTTCATCGTATTCTTGACAGATTCAATATGGCCAATTCAAAAAGAATATAGAGTACTTTGCTTGCACAATTTCAACTCTTCGCAACTCAATGTCCCACAAATGCTATGGAGAAAGAAAGAATGTAATGTGTTTTCAATGAACAAGCAATATGCAATTTCATGTATTTAATGGTGTGCACTAGGCTTAATATTGCTCTAGCAATGAAAAAGTTGAGTATATTCATGTCGAATCTAGAGAACATTCATTGGGAAGCAATGAAATGGATTCCGAGATATCTAAAGATGACTGTGATTAATGGTTTATTGTTTGATGTATTATTAGACAATGCCAAGTTGTTGTTTGGTTATGCTGATGTTCACTACATACAAAATTTAGACAAAAAAATATCTACAATTGTATATATATATTTACACTTGGTAGTGGAAGTATTAGTTGAAAATTTATTTTGCAGAACTGTGTAGCTCAGTCAACAATGGAAGATGAATATGTGACAGCAACAAAAGAAGCTATTTGATTAGATAGGTTTATCATGGAAATGTATTAAAACATAGCGTGGTCATATTCATTGTGATAATCAAAATGTTTTACATTTGATTACAAATCAAATCATGGATAACAAAATGAAACACATCAACATCAAATATCATTTTATTAGACAAATTTTGTCTAAAAAAACAATTAACCTAGTAAAGATCTTAGCAATCATCAAACCATGCTCATTCAAAACTAATCGTGGAAAGAACTCATGCAATAAGCAGGTAAATCTGGATATCCAGAACAAAGTCAGGTCTACATTTGTTTTTCACCCTGTGGTTCACTCAGAACCTCATGCCTTCATATGTGAGTTGCTAGACAGCACTTCAAATTATTTACTCTTATAAACATATGGAACATCGTACATTTCCAGCTTGAATGGAGATGGATGCGGAAAGTATTGATTTACTACAATGGGCGGAAATTCGTGTTACGAAAAAAATTGAGAGACATTAATTTTGCCCACTACTGTGAAACAAAGGCATAGTTCATGACATCACGAATCGTGGACGGTTGTCCTCCGCACCTCTGACAGAAAGTGCACAATGGAGGAACCCTTGGACCCCATGCAGGTATACAAGCGAGGTGTGCCGATTTCCCCATTGGACAGTCGAATCAGAAAGAATAGTCCAGTTCCAAGGAGCAGGTCGCTGGTCCAAGAGGTGCGCATGTTCAGATTCGAGGGTCAACGATCATGCTAGGCAGCGACAAAAATTGCTGCAGAGTGCCGCATCCCCATTTTTTGATAGATTGGAGGCGTGGTTTCTGTGTAGATTACAAAGTCATGACTGCCAGCCAATCATAATATTCTGACAGATTTGCGCATTTCCTGCTTGAGGAAAGGCAGCTCTGATCTCTCACCACTAATGAACAGCAGACCATAGATTCCCCAATGGGCTACGTCGAGAAGTGGGCCTCACGGTCGTTCAAGCCGCGGAGGAGTGAATTGAGGGAGATTTTGTTGTGGATGCTGCACCAGCGTCCAGATTTCCACCACTTATTCTCCGATGCTCGATTGAACGTGACTAGCGGCTGTCCCGTATGCCGATGCGGGGAGACGCCCACTTGCGCTCAATGTTCCGAATGGATGTTCAGAGTCCCTGGAATGCAGCTGTTTCTGCACAACGCCGAGAAAAGAAAAGCTGTGAAGATGCAGGTCTAGAAGCTCGACGCTTCGTCCCGAGCTCTAGCTCTAGGTGGCAGAGATGAGTGTGTCTGCACGAGACAGAGCCGTGACCTCGAATCAGGACGAGGTATATAATCAATTCGGCACTCGATCGTCGCCGGGACGAGGACAGACGATTTCGGGAGGACTTGATAAGGGCGGGGATGAACAACATGAAATTGAGAAGCTTGGAGTGGTAAGAGCCTCGCGCGATGGCACACGACGTCAATTTGGACGACGAGGGTCTGAGCCTGAGGCTCGTGTACCTGGCGGCGTGGACCGCCGCCGGGAATGGCCGAAGAAGCCAATCGAATTTTGGAGTAATCTCTAGTCGAGTCCGGCCTTCGCCTCAAGGCAAACTGATCTTTCCAACTTCTTCTTTCTGCTCCACTGTCACGAGCCTAATGATTTTCTCAGCACTTATTCAGTGTCAAAACCCTTTACAGGTGTGTGCTGTTGTGTCGATTTTGCAGAAACAATTTTGATTTGTGAATCGTTTCACGTGCCTTCCAACCATGTTCAAACGTCTGCAACATGGACACACGTTTGAACATGGGTAGTCGCCATGTTCTATCGGGGAATGGTTTCCTTCCTGAGTTGAGTGTTTCCAAATCTAATCTACTGCGGAGACAGCCATTTTCCTCAGCGGATCCTCAGCACCGAGAGTATATTCTATGTAGACACAGGAGATATTCTAATCTGGTGCTGGATCAACGAAAAGTTGGTGAAATTGATCGGTTGGGTGTACTTTGTTGAGCTAATCTGTTGTTTATGCAAATCTGGATTGCTTCTAGATAGCCTCAAGAGAAGAAATATCACAATTATTTGGATTGTATTATAGATGGCTTCTGTCTCTAATACATCTTTGGATCGAGGATTAAATCCATCGGAGAATTTCAAGACCAGATTTACAAGGTTTGTTACAGGTCCTTGCCACCGATTCTTCTGATTCTTGCTAGCCATGTGATTCCTCAGCGAGTCGCACGGCCATCACTGATTCTAGTTCAAGCTTCTTTTCGAGACGACTTGAGGCCGACGAAAGTTCATGCCCAATCTGTGGACAAACCTAGCTTACTGTGGAACAGGATTTTTCCAAAACTATACCACAAGATAAGAAACACAAGATCTTGTGTTTCTTCAAGTCTCGTCCGAACCCACAATCCGATGGGTGCATTTTCAGAAATCAAAGTATTGTATTGGGCCCTGAGCATGGAGCCTGCCAGATCATTCCCCTTTCTCAGCGCGTACATTTGGAACCTTGCTGCTCTTTCAAGATGGGAATTAAGATACCTACCACTGTCCAGCTTCCCTGCCTCCGTGCCTCTGAGTAACGAGACTCTGGGTAACGTATTCCTCGTCTCATAATGAGTGAAGCTGCTCCAAACCAGATGCATTTCACTTTGTCAGCGTATGATCTTCCGAACGTCGGGAGGATTCGATGACTCATGATCAGCGTACTGCCTAAAGGCGAGGAGACGACTAAGAGACAACAAATTGGTTGCAGCTGCACTTCCGGGTCCATACACTCACTCTCCATATGGATCGAGCGCGTCTACACCACGCGATGAGTCTCATTTTAAGGAGATCTATCTGCCTTGATTCGATGAGACTTATGGAGATGGAATGAAGAGAGATTGCAGCAGCTGAGAATTGGACTCTTGCACAGACCATGAAAGAAGAAAGCAAAAGAAGTCGAGTTTTCTTCCCACCTACCTCCGATGCAGTCATCTTCGATCCCCTGCCCCTATGGACAGTAGCACGTGAACTGAAACCCTTCTCACGCACCTAGAAGCCGGTGGCCTTGGACACATGTTCGATTACCTCTTTCCTTTTCTGAATCCAATTTATAGAAAGAGGAAATTCAATCGTTTCATACGTTTGAGATAGAAAAACTTCTCTTGAAAACTTCCTCGCTAGTTTGTTTTAAATTTAAGATTTCAGGTATTTAGGTGTAAATATATATAACTATTTATTTACAACTATCGGTAGAATGTAAATGCTCATAAACACGTGCGCCGGCATCACATGAGCCTAGTTGACACGATGTGTCATAATCAATGTCACGATGAATGAATCTCTGAAGACAATCTAGTGGACAACATTTTGGAGGATTTGAAGTCTTGTGGCACGATTCGACTAACTGGTGATTTGGTGAGTGCTAGCAGATATGACCGGATCCCTGACAAGTCTCCTTTATCCTCTACTTGTCTGACCAAAGGCGTTTGTCGCCGGGCTCGATTTTTCCGTCACTTCACTCAGAATTTCACAATTTAGATTGAGCAGAATCCGTCACAATCGGATATCGCCGCCGAGTATCGTTCATAGAGTTCTACCTCTTGCGGAAAGGAGTTAAAGTCACAATTAACTTAATCTGGTTTTTGGGCATGTGATCCACTGCTTCTTTCAGAGGCCAATGTGAAACTAGGGTTCAGAGCCTTATAGATGACACTGGATGGCGACAAGCTGTAAGTCCATAACAGCAGAGCATCTTCTCTTCGAAATTCAACAGGAACTGCAGAATCTAGTGCCTTCTGGAGTTATACCGAAGATACTTCGACTCACCAACCTTTCACAACCACAAAACAGAGCAGAAAACGAAGAAGATCATGTTAAAGCTTTTCTTGCATTTAAATGGAGTTGACGGTGTCTCCATCGCTTGCCACAGTTTTCGTCTCGACCACGTTCAATCTGCAGGAATCTCCTTTGATCTTCTAGTAAAGGGCCCCATGTACTCGCCTGATTAGTCTCGGACAAGGTGCAAGAACCAATTGCCCCTTGCATTGATCAGAAGACACTGAAAAGACTACACTCTCCCGGACCCATTGACGTTGACGACAGTAAACGTAACAGGCTCATTAGTTGGCAAAATCTGTCGTGAGTCTTCTTCGCTACCCATCAACCATATGCATATGGTTGATAACTATGACTGCTTTGCGTCTTTGCTGCAGGAATGCACTAGTCTCGTGTTACATCTGTCGTTGCAGTGGATACTGTGACGTATGGAATCATCGACAATCCCAAAAATTTAGATCTGCATCAAGATCTCCTCCTCATTGACTGTATCGTCCCCTACGCCCGACGGATCTGGAGACACACGTTTCAAATTCCATTTCCTCGAGAAGTCGCGTTCAGAAAAACATCACGTTGTAGATGTACCTAAATCTTGCTACCTTCTCATCTTGCATCTGGTTGGAAACAGTTACTGTACTGGTTGGATCCGTACTTTTGACCTACAAGCATGTCATAGTCTTCAGGTAAGACATAACTACCGTAACTTGGCCACGATCATATAGTTATATAGGTCCAGCCTGCAGCCAAACGGGAGATGCTCGCTGTTTATTGTCCAAGAGGTCATGGACATATGTCACTCAAGCCAGTGGTCAGCTATGAAGGAGTAGTCATTACCTTAAGACACCTTCAGGAACTATGCTATCTGGACTCTGTGTTGGCTGTATTCTCGGCCCTTGTGGGCCATCTCATTTTCATAAATATTATTGTTAGCACACTCAACTTTTGAACACGTGTTTGCGCATGTGGCTACAACCTCTCATCTCTCATCATTCTTCATTCTTCATTCGTCTTGCAGGCGTTTAAGGCTAGTGTTACATGCACTTAAGAGGTTGTTTGAATCCCAGAGATCCCCTAGTCAAATTTCCAAGATCCGTTTGAACGGGCTGCTGCAGTGGCTGCTTGTCAAATTCCTAGGAAGTGCTAGGAACTACTAGGCTCTTGGCAGTGATCGAGAATAGTCGACTTTAATCTAATTCTATTGGAAAGATCCACCTGCGCTTGATCAGATTCACGAATTTTCCTGAATTTTGTGTACCTCTTCTTAAAACTCTTCTTGTGAAAATTGTTATCATAAGAGTGAAGTACATTCAACCATCTTTGGGAGTTACAGGATGCATGAGCATCTTTGTAAGGTTTGATACTTTATATCAGATATTCTATGATTCATATTTATCTTTAGAACAGAGTCAATGATCAAGGCTCTGGGACTAGCTCGAGTCAATAAGATCATACGTGGCTTTATTTGCTTGGACATGAACCCGGGCTGACCCCAAGGATTGTCCTTGCATCCAGATTTTTATTTCCAATTGTGGGTTGTCAAAGCAGGACTAGTCACCTTCAATTTTTTTTAAACCCATCTTATTTTGTTGGGATTTATAACCCAAAGTGCAAGAGTTATTCTTTACTTGATATCTCTCTTGATTTTCAAGTTCTTTGCGTTCGGGGATTTTATATTTTTCGGATGTGCTAGTGGGTTCCATACTTTTGTCCCACACTAGCTAAATGTGCGAAGCTTTATAAGAAGATTTTTAAATATTTACTACACATCATAATTAGAGAATTCAACACAGAATTGGACATCATATCCACGTGTATCTCAAAGCAACCCTCATAACCATAAGATTACATTTTCATCCAGAATTCCAAACAATGGTATTGTGTGCAAGCTTATGTTTGATTGAGTGACTACTTGTTCATCCTCTTGCGTCTTTGGTAGTATGTTCATAATCGGTATGAGGTTTACGGTTGAATTTGACCTAGCCTTTATTATAATGCAGGACATTTCTATCTCCTAGAAGCTTATGGTTGACCGTCAGATATATTCGCGTCTTAGATTCTACATAAATCATATTATTGAGATTTGTACTAAACCTCATGTAGTCTTTAGCCTCTACTACATGGTCTTATGAGCGTGTGTCAGTGATTTATCTGCATCTTTTGCACATGTGGTTTGTTGCAGTTAGGAGTTAGGAGTGTGACAATTGTCATGCTGGGTCGCTGTTTTGGAACCTCCGTCCACTCCAAGTAGTGACTTTTTGCACCAAATCTACATTAAATGGCAAGTTCAAATCTTAGTGCTTTATAATCAATTAATTTCTCTCTTTTTGTTTTAGCCCATGTTGGGTTTGTCCGGCGTTTCTCGTCCTTGATCTCTATATCCATGGATGATTATTATTGAGATGTTTCTTATAAAAGTCTAGTCCCGTCATGTAGCTGCACAATGACAAGAATGATCGGGTCGCCCAAAATCAGCGGTGTGACTTAAAATCTACAAAGATGATGTAAAAGTCAGCAGCAAGAATATTGAGGGCCAGCCTTTTAATAGCCATTGCAGCCTTACTACCTATGAGACTGAGGCTGGCTGTGTAGAGGAACCGAGGGAGGAGGCAAGGCCACAAAAGTATACTTCTTTGCATTTTAGAGTGACCAGATCAGATTAAATGTTATTCTCAGGTTTTGACATCCACCTGCGAGCAAGCTATTGCAAGAGAGACTTCCTTGAGTTGGTAGAAGTGGACAGCTTCAACATGTTTTCGGAGTCTCATGAATATATTCAGAGTTTGGAATTCCAATACCATGTTATCAAAGTTAATAACGTAGAGGAGTGCTCACCTCAGAACAGCAGCGAATGCATATTATATTGTTGATCTTGTGAGTTGACTGATTCATACCAGAAAGCTGATCGAACCAGATGTTTCAATGAGGTTAGAATTCAGCCCACGTGATACTCCAAAATCAGAGATAATCACAGCTGAAGAAAGAAACTTGCCTTCCCGATTGTGAATTGCTAATGCCCTGAGCCACCAGAACGAAACTTGCCATTACTACGCATTCACAATTCTAGTCTGCTTCGATTGTTTACCTGCTTCGAGAGATTCACGCTTTCAAAATGTAGACTGACCGCCATTCGTCTAACTCAGCTTCCTTCTGCATACATACATTCTGTCCACGAACGTACAGTCTTGTACGTTCTGCTGGGCAACGGTCGAGCTTCTCCATCGTTGAAATTAGTCACAATAGAAGTTTATTACGATAAAACTCCTTCAATTTCATTAAGTAGCGCTCTAGGCGTAAGACTTAGATTTGTGTTGAGAACAGGCACCCATGGACTTGTACTGGCCAAGAGTTGAGAATCTTCCGATTGTGCACATAAATCACTTTCCGATGACTTTAGGACAGAAGCTTCTTTCTTACCGAAGATGAGCTGGGTTCAGCAATTCGTTCAGAAGATGTGGAACTGATGACTTTCACGTCTCTGAATATAATGCGCATTCCTTGATTGATATACTGGC